GCCTTAGTGTGGCAAAAAATAAATATTTTGGACTAATGAAACTGTGACTAATAACTACTTTGCTTAGAATTTTTAATATGAAACTGTGTTTTTCACTTCAGTTGATGCTTTGAAAGTTAGGGCCCACCGGCACTACTATTTTCATGAACACAGCTGTAAATACCAGGTATTTTTGAAAGTAATGATTAATAAAAAAAATAAACAAAAACATAAAAAACAAAGTCTCTAAACATGTTTATAATACTCCATACAGAAATGGCGAATTTGTTACCATTTTTTCGCAATTAACTCGAATTTTTGAGGGTAAGCCAGTCAAACAGACCTAATATTCGGATTCACCGGGTCGAAATACATTTCGGTTGGTGGGTCTGGTTAGAGGCACACACCAATCTTTTGTGCCGGTGTTGTTATTATGGCACTTAAAATGTGCACGTAAGAGCAGCAAAGTATTTAAAGCGGAGTCTTCTAATCTGGACCTGAACTTGTTACATACAAAACCTGCTGATGAAAAACATTTTCGGCCTCAACACTTTTACACTATGTATCCATTGTGAGATTTAATGAAGATTTGGCCCTTTGACGAGATTTAACGTTAAACCTTTCGAGGTTTGCCAAATAAAATTAAATCTCGAAAGGCTTAAGATTTACGTTAAAACTTCGTTAAATCTTCAATAATATTGATCAATAAATATAATTTGTTGGGTGTGGGAACCCCATATTCACATGCCATAAGTCAAATGACATTTGTATTTTCAATATACAGTTGCGGACATTGAAATCTAGCCGATTAAATAACCATGTATTTTCGTATTTTTAGGGGCGTTTTTTATATTTTGGTTAGTTTTAAAGGCAAATTATTAGTATTTACATAGCTTTTGTTTTAATAAATCAACAAAAAGATATTTTAAAAATTACAAATTCAGAAAATATGTTTTATGATAATATAATGCAGAGTCTTTTCCGCTTCCTATAAATCTTTTACGCATTGCGATATAAAATTTACAAAATTCAGTAATGGTTTTGCTTCGATAACATTGCACGAAAAATCCTCTAGAACTCAATTCGACTCAAGAAATGCATTGGCAGTCATTTTTGCTAGCTAGGTCTGCATGATATGCCAAAGGCCCTCGATTGGATTTTCGGCTACCTCTTATGAAGAAAAGAGTTTATTTCCCAAACCATTACCGAATTTTAAACATTTTTCTTAAAGCAAATATTGTTCTTTACCGTTTTGTACCATTCGTAAAATTTTCCAAACTACATATTTTTTCTTATTTACCACGAATAAGAAGCCAATAATAGCTGTGTTTTTTTACACGCCTATACATACGGTGACCATAATTATGGCAGCGGAATGGTTAGGTTAGGTTAGGTTGAAGTGCTGCTAGGCCCAGAGGGCGCCAGCACACTTACGCCCGATCAGGGCCCATTGTGATACCACATGGATCCAAAAACCCCTACTCCTTAAACCAGTTCGTGGGGTCTGCGAACCCTAGCAGCTGCCGTATTCCTAACTTAGCAGTTGCGCTTATATCGTCTAAAAGCCCTATGCCTAGGAATTTCTGTCCTTTCCTGCCTAGTGCTGGACACTCGCAGAGTAAGTGCCTTATTGATTCAGGCTCTTCTTCGTCGTGGCAGCTCCTGCAGTAGTCGTTGTGACTAGCCCCGAGGCGTTCTGCGTGCCTTCCTATCAGGATATGTCCTGTGAGCAGACCAATGGCCAGTGACATATCGCCTTTATTGAGAGTAAGAATTTCTCTCGTTCTCCGTACATCCCATTTTGGCCCTGTAAGGTTCGTTGTATTAGAGTTTTCAGTGCGATCCCATCTGGAGGCCGCTTCTTCAAGGAAGTTCTCCCTTAGTAAGAGCTTGCAGGAAGCGAGTGGCATACCCATCATCTTCCAGGCTGGTGAAAGTGGAGAGGAAGTACCCGCCCTTGCAAGCTCGTCTGCCTTCTCATTTCCTGCTATGTCACTGTGCCCCGGTACCCATACCAGGTGCAAAGCGAACTGCTCTGCCATCACATTAAGTGATTTGCGGCAGTTGGCAACTGTTTCCGAATTTATAGTGACAGAGTCAAGCGCCAAAAGGGCCGCCTGACTGTCTGAGTATATATATATTTCCGTACTGGCGATAACAGCTAGTTTTAGGCTGTCAACGGCTTCTTGTATGGCTGCCAATTCGGCTTGAAAGACACTACAATAGTCAGGTAGTCGGAATAATCTTTTTATTCCCAATTTCTCCGAGTAGACGCCCCCTCCTACCCTATTTTCTAGATGGGAGCCGTCCGTGTAGAATCTTATGGCATCTCTACACCCCGGAACTCCTTCGAGCCATGATTCTCTGCTAGGTAGCGTTACGCTATAACCTTTAGTGAACACAATAGTCCGTTGTGCTCGGTAGTTGTCGGTTTCTCAGAATTGTAGTGTGACCACAACGAGCCGCTTTCCAGCTTTTAAGCCCCTATAGTCTTAGGGCTGCAAACGCAGCGTATTGTCGTCCTATAATATCTATAGGTATGATGTTGCGGGTCGTATTCAATGCCATAGTAGGTGTTGTGCGGAGAGCACCACTAATGCAGATCAGGGCCGTTCTCTCCACTTTTTGTAATTTATTACTGTTTACCTTCTTCTCCAGCACTGGCCACCATACCACTACCCCGTACAGAAGTATGGGCCTCACCACGGCGGCGTATATCCAGTGCACTAGCTTCGGGGTTAAACCCCATTTTTTCCGACTGCTCTCCTGCAGCTGTATAGGGCAACCGTGGCCTTCCGCACCCGCTCTTCGGTGTTTTGAGTCCAGCTTAATTTTCTATCTAGGACTATCCCCAGGTAATTAGCAGAATCGCTTAATTTTAGTGTGGTCTGTGCCAGCCTTGGTGTTATCAATGGGGGGATTTTGTACCTTCTCGTGAATAGTACAAGTTCTGTTTTGTTTGGGTTTACCCCTAACCCGTTATTTTTTGTCCAACTCTCGACTTCCATCAGTTTTACCTGCTTAATGTCACATAAGGTCTGTGGAAATTTCCCACTTACTGTTAGTGCAAGATCATCCGCATACGCAATAACCTTACAGCCACCCCCCTCCATGCCACACAGCAGTGAGTTTACCGCTGCGACCCATAATAGAGGGGATAGGACTCCCCCTTGCGGGGTGACCCTCTACGATCCTGGTCAACGATACTCCCGCCAGCTCCGCCCGAACCACCCTGCATCTCAGCATTTGGTTTACGAGCGCAACTAAGCGCGAGTCGATGCCCAGGCCCGTCAGTGCTGTCGTTATCGCGCCCGGCATGATGTTGTTAAAGGCGCCCTCTATATCCAGGAAGGCTGCTGGCGTACTTTCTTTGATGTCTAGTGATCTTTCTATATGCGACACTATTTCATGTAGCGCCGTTTCTGTAGATCTACCTTTCGTATAAGCATGTTGTGTGGTAGAGAGTCCGTCACCAACCGACTCTCTGCTACGGACCTCCACCAGTCTCTTCATAACCTTCAATTGAAATGACGACAAGGTGAGGGGCTGAAATCCTTTGGGTTGTTGTGGGACACCTTCCCTGCCTTGGGGATGAACATCACTCTTGACTCCCTCCACTTTCTAGGGATATGATTAAGAGCTAATACACCCTTGATTATAGCGTGAAGCCACGCTGAGCTTAGCTTAAGCTTAAAAGTCCCAATAGACCAGATGACCTTTTCCCTAGTGAGGAAGTCTCAAGTGACCGAAAGATCTCCAGTTAGATGTGGCTGCACCGGCATGCTGTCCGTGGCACCGGGAAGTGTGTGCAAAGAAGCAGATCCAGTGATTCCTCCTCGGTCTCAGTCCAGGAGCCGTCAGGTCTTTGCAAGCATCCTGGGGCTTTCTGGGCAGCACCTGAGAGTATCTTTCTGAGCCTGCCTGCCTCTGAGATAGACTCCACCCCGTTGCAGAAGTCTTTCCATGAGGTTCTTTTCGACCTTCATAGGAGGCTCTTGTACTCCCGTAACGTTGTCTTGTAGGTCTCCCAATGTCCCTCACTACCAGACGCAGTGGCCTGGTTGAAGGTTTTCCTGCAGTTCTTGCGTGAAAACCTGATTTCTTCATTCCACCAGGGTGGCTTTTTCCTACCCCGGTGCTGCTTTTTGGGGTATGCAATGTCAATTGCCCTACTGCAGGCCCCCGTAAAATGGTCGACAAGATATTCCAGCTCCTCTAGGTTTGCTGGAGTAGTCGGCTCTCTATCTTCTGGCAAAAGCCTATCCAGCTCTTCCCGATACCTATGCCAGTTGGTATTTCGCAAGTTTCTAGTTAGAGGAGCCTTGGGCATTCCCCCTACTACCTCGAATTGGATATATCGGTGGTCGGAAAAGGAGTGCTCCTCGAGCACCTTCCACTTCCCGACCAGACATTCCGCATTCTCAGAGATAAGGGTAACGTCCAGCACTTCCCTTCGGGATTTTGTAATAAAAGTGGGATCGTTCCCCCTATTTGCAATAACAAGCTTAGAGCTAAGTATTAAATTAAAAAGTGACTCACCCCGTTCGTTATTGTCGGAGCTGCCCCAGGTATGATGGTGAGCATTTGCATAACCTCCCAAAATTAGCGCCTCCCTCGTGCTGGCCACTAGGTCCTTAATGCAGATAATTGGCACCTCCTTGTCGTGAGCTAGGTACATGGATGCCATCTTAATTGGTCGTCCGTTAACACTTAGACTGACCGCTGTTGTGTCCTCGTCGCTAAATTGTGGAAGAAAGAGACACTTTAGTGTGATACTTATCAATATGCACGTCCTTGGTTTCCCCGTTGAGGCTCCAGTCTGTAGCCCGGCGCTTTCAGCCCGCAAATGTTTTGTCCCACCACCAAGGTTCTTGGATTAGGACGATGTCGGCTGTCCCTTTAGCTGTTAGATGGAGCAGCAGTGCAGCTGAAGCTGCTTTACAGTGGTGAAGGTTAATCTGCAATACCTTCACCATTTTGGCCATTATCGCCCACGTCGCCTATTAGGGTGGAGTTGACCGCGTCTTTCGACATCTCGATCAACTCCTCCTCCGTATAAAGCCGAAGCATGCGTCCGACCCCCCAGCGAAGACGTCGATGAGGCATCCATAGGATCAACCTGCTCGGATTCCTCCTCCATCTCCACGTCGCTGTTGGCCTCCTCCGGCTCTACCTCCGCGATGAGGTTCTTCGCTGCGTTCACGTCGTTGATGTAGACCTTAATTTTGGCCATGTCGCAGCCGTACCGTATCACCCCGCTCTTTTGCTCCACCAACTCTATGAAGTCCTTATTAAGAAGCAGGACAACCTGCATTGTCGCTTTACCGCTTTCATTTATTTTCACCACCTTCCAATTTTCGGTAGGTAGCTCCGAGTTGTAGAGCCTTATGGTATCCAGGATCCTTTCGGGTTCCGCTGGCTTGCAAGGCAACCATTCTCTCGCTCTCGGTCGCACCGGTAGGTCCTTGAAGTCGACCGCCCTGAGCTTCGCACCAGGGTAGACTTCTCCAATGCCTGCGACTGTCTTCTTATATATATCCGCTGATCTAGCATCCTCGCATGCTATAGCCCGGATGTTATTTTGGAACCACCCCGCTCCCTTGCAGGTTGGCGGAGGTCCCGGATTCTCCAACATGATGGCGATGTCTTCATCGCTCTCGTCAATGACGCCAAGCAGGATCTGCTCCTTGGCTACTTCAGCAAAAGAAGGCCTCTGCGTTCTGACCCTCTTTGCATTGTTGGGCGTATTTTCCCCCGATCTATTGCGCTTACTGGAGGGCGCCTGCGGCTGTCTCTCCTCCGGCTTGCGGTAATCGGGCAGGACTGCCTTCGCCCAGTCGATTTTTGTGAAGATCTCCTTCACATGCTCTGCCTTCGCCTTACTACACAGGTCAGGAGTAGTGGTGAACCTTTGCAGGATTCGTGCAGCCATCTTCTTCTGTCGATAGCCCGCTGTAGCTGGTTATGGCCTCTGGTCAGGCCTCGTGAAGGCCGTGGGTGTCGCTGGAGGACCGCTCGAGGCCTGCGCCCCAGATTCAGCCTTATCTCCGGCTGCAATCTGCATGCCAGTTTGGCATCCACTGGTGCCAGCAGTTTCCTGGGGTGGACTCCTTTGAACATCCCCACCGCCGCTTTCCTTCTTTTTTGCAGGAGCTTGGCCCGGTTTAACCATTGGCCTTGGTTTCCCGCTGTTTGTCACCGCACTACGGCTGGTGGAGGTACTCTGCATCGCTTGAGCCCCTTCTTTAGTGGGCCGAGGCCCTTCCGACGCCTTAAGGGGGCCGGTCCCTTTATAGTTTGTTTTTGTTGTTGTTGTTTTTTGATTTTTTTTCCATATTTGTTCCCACGGGCTGCGGAGAAAGGGGGTCGTCCACCCGGGCAGAGATCCGCGATGCCCAGGTAAGGCCTACTTACATCCTGGGTGTGGCCGCCTCCCAGAGGGCTCCGTTCGCGACTGGGCTATTTAGGGGCCCCCAGCCTGGCCTATCCTCGGTACGGTGCGCATGACGCCTTGATCCAGCCCCTTCAGACCTCCAAACCACGATCAAAAACCATTTCCATATGACTAAGCTATTAAGGAGTTTAGCACATAGCACTGATTCCTGATCTTAGCTGAGCAGCATTCTGACATCGCACACAATCCTCTGTAGTGCCCATTTCCAGTCGGCACCCTCGTGGAGGGTTCAGCCGGAGGATTTTTGCCGACCATGGCAGCGGAATACGGGACACAAAATAATTTTGCTAATGCAAAAGTCTTGAAACAGAATTTGCTTAGCATTGAAACAGCATTTTATTTGGCATATATTTGTCGATATTTTGTGAATAATGCAGCACATAAATATTCAGTTGTAACGTGTTGTGCTACCCACTAAAACCCAAACTCCCACCGCTCGCGCAAGAATCCCGCATCTGGCACCGCAATTCTGCATGTCTTCAGATGCAGGAGCGCGCTGCTAGAGCCTCGGGGCTGCTCTTTTGTATGGGCGTTTCATTCGGGTGTCCCCAGTAGACATCCGTCCTCTCGTTTGCAGCGGAGTACGAATTTCACGTATCTCGCAACTGCTTCCCACTTGTCTGCACTGGAGCTCATTACTTTAATTATGTTGTTCGGAGTTATGTCTCTGTATGTTTCTTCCAACATTCTGAACAGGACGGTGAGTGCACCCTGCGGCAACGCGAAGCGAACAACGAGAAATAGGCAGAATGTTCGAGGAATGACGTAGAATGTTTCACGAAGAGAAACGTCAGTTGGATGAACACTGCAAACAGCGAGAGAAAGAGAATGAGCGATGAACTTCAGAACGTTCGAGAGTTGCCATGAGTGCGAGCGCAGGTATATAAGAGCCACGACACAGCGGAGTTGAGTTAGTTACGAGTTACAAGTCAGCAAGCTACAAGTAAAGTGAGCAGAGAAGTGAGTTGCGAATAAGCAAGCTATAAGTTTAATTGTGTTAACAAGTTTATTAAAGCGTTGTTATTGCTTTAACAAGTATTGTAAAGTGTTTTTACTGTATTAGCGAATATTGTAAATTGTTTGTTGTACAATAAAGTTAATTGTACTATAGTTTGGTCATCGTTAGTATTTATTTAACAATCCAGAGATGCGAACTGCAAGATATTTGGGAAATCCCTCGAGGTTTCAAGGATGATCGTAACAATTGGTGTCAGAAGTGGGATTCTTAAATAAATCCCGAAGGATAAACTTTTGAAAATAGCAAAAATTCAGGATTTAAAGATTGAGGAACTCAAACGGGATTTGGAGAAGCGAAATTTAGCAACCTCCGGAAGAGAAGTGGAGTTACTATCACGGCTGCGAGAGGCTATGGAAGCAGAAGGCATCGACGTGGACAAATATGACTTCCAGGGTAAACTCGACGATGCATCCGCAAAGGGTGAACAGAAGGACGAGGCCGCTTGTTCGTCGAAGGAAGTGCAGCAGACATCCGGGAAGGTTGAAGAACAGCAAAAGTCTCTAAGTTCATCAACAGCTATGGACATGAACACGTTATTGGCTGCCATGTCACAGATGTCATCAGAGATTTCATCCCAGCTGCAAGTGCAGGGAACACGCATATCATCGCAGCTAGATGAAAAGATTACTCAGTTACAAGAGAATTTATTCAAAAATAACTCGGAACTCAGAGAGAGACAGATAAAATCGAGGAACGACAAGATAAAATCGAAGCGCTTATTAAGGAAAAACAGGACAAAGCCGAAGCTAAGGTGGATGAGCTTGAAGATCGTCTCCGGGGTTTGCTGTTGAATCGTCCAGCTAATTCGACTAACGCTCCCAAGGTAAAGACTCCATCTTTTGATGGCACTATTCCTTTCCAGGTCTTTAAGCTCCAGTTTGAGAACACAGCTACAGCAAATCACTGGAACATGGAGGATAAATCCGCTGCACTGTTCGTTGTAAAGGACCTGCAGCGGAAATCTTGCAGACTATTCCTGATTGTGAAAGGAACAGTAACGATGCGTTAATGCGTGCAGTGGAAAGACGTTATGGTAGCGAGCACAGGAGACAGATTTACCAGATGGACGATACAAAGGAAATGCTGAAGAAGCTAATCCAACTGCTGGGCGAGAAAAAGCATGGCTCTGGCAAATGTTTTAAATGTGGAAAGCCAGGCCACTTCGCCCGCGATTGCAGCGCAAGTTCCAGTGGGCTCAACAATTCAGCAGGACGCAGACGCAGGGCTGAAGGAAGCCAACTCCAATCATTCGTTAAACTGAAACGAGCCAGCAGGAAGGGCCGCGTGCTGGCTCCAGAAGTTGAAGGGCTCATAATCTCCGTCTCACAAATTGGCCGGAAAGCATGCAACCTCACTGTTGGTGGATGTGTGAATGGGCAGAAGAGAGTACTGACAGTGGATACTGGAGCAATACATTCCATTATTCGACCGGATTTGGCCACTTTTTATGTGAAGCCACTACCTGGAGCAAAGCTGCAGACTGCAACTGGTGAATGCACCAAAGTGTTAGGAGAAGTACCATGCGAGGTAAAAATCGACGCTGTGGCCTCGTATACTAAGTTTATAGTGGCAGACATTGTGGATGAAGTCATCATCGGCGTGGATTTCTTACTTGGCCAAGGCATGAAGATTGACCTCCATAGAATGATCCTGACAGATCGTCACAGGAAAGTGCCACAAGTTGGGCAGAGGTTGACAATGATGGAGACGAAATGGTTTCGTCAGGAGAAGGAAGTGGTTCACCGATACAGGAAAAGCGTGACGGTTCCGCCAGCTCAGTGAAGAAGAGGTCGCAACAAGGAAGTGGTCATGGCAAGCCAGGCAGTGTTTCCGGCAGGAGGAAAGCCGCTAAACCACGTTGCAGTGGTTATACGCCGGTGGCCGGAAATGGAAGCGGCTGTGGGAGCAGTAGGCGTGCTTTGAAGTGTCCCGAAAAAGACGATGTGGTCGTCAAAGGCGAGCAGTTAAGCCGGAAGCCAAGGGCGAGATTATACATGTCCGGTCAATGAAGCTAGCATCGGCGGAAGGGCGAGATACGAAAGGACGGCGGAAGCTTCAGCGTAAGGATCTGGATTTAGCAAGATGTGCTAAAGGCAGCGCAGCACGAAGGCGGGAGTCTGGGTGTCATGGACAGATGATGCGGCATAGATCTGGCGAAAAGGGTGCCCACGAGAAGAGACATGGTCTGGTCACCACCAGTGGCCGGCAGAAGCAC